GACTTTATAAAAAATAAAAATATCGTAGATGAAATTCAGCATGAAATACAGTTAGACATAGCTCAAGTTGTTCTTTATTTCCAGTATTGAAGATTCAACATGGCCGAAAAGTTTTCAGTAGGGCTTTTTAAATGGCTATAACTTCTAATCGATCTTTTCTGCTCCGATTTTTGTGCTTCAGTAACCTTACGTTGTTCAAGTGATTTTTTCATCAGTGCCATTACTCAAATGTTTGCAATACGTTTCACTTCACCACTAGATTGTTAAAATATTTGATCTGAATTGATTAAATATTTTTTATTCTTATCTCTCCATCAGAAATATACGTAACTAAATCCTTACCTAGTATCAATCTATACAACTAATATACTAAGATATCTTTTGCAACTTGGAGAACTTGATACATATGCAGAAAAGTATATTGACATGATAGGAGGGTAATTGATCAAAGAAATTTCACTGGACTAATTTGAGTAAATTTATCGTCAAACCCATGAAGAAGAACAGCAGTAAAATATATAAATGAAGCCATATTGAATAATGAAAAAGCGTCTTTATACATGTGTGTGCATTCATTCAATAGATTTACGTACTTTAGTTGACTCAATTATTATTGACGTCAATAAAGATTATCATTAATCATTTATAAATTTCAAAACTCTTAAATTTAGAGCAAACAATTCACATACGACTGTTTTATTTGATATTTGAAAACAGTATTTATATGAAACTACTGATTATTTATTAACGTCAAAGAAGCATTGACTAATTACAAAGATAGAAGGCATTAAATGGCAATAATTCGGTGTTTAAAAGGATGGAAAATTTATTTTAATGAATTAATGATATTCACATATTCAGAGTTTATACATTATTTTGAAATATGAACGATCATCTTAATAAGGAAATGTATTTTTGTTTGATGTTGTATTTTTATATCTCATCAGTAAAATTGCCAGACATGTTTTTTCAAGAAGTAGCTTTTGATCTTCTGTACTATAAATGATGAAAAAAAATAATTCTTCAGTATATAACATAAGCAACGATTTTTATTGTACAATGATCCATCTAACCAAAAAGTTGCTTGATCAATTATTAGCTCGACCGTTTGTCATGATCTTCCCCTTTGCTAAGCTTTGATCTTTTTTCTTGAGTCTTTTTTTGTGATTTCCTCCTCAATCGCGAGAGTACTTCGCAAAGTCCGGTAGCTGTGCTATAGCCATTAAGCTGGTTGGGGAGAACTAAGACACAAGCATGAAACAAAAAATAAAAAAAAAAGAAACCTCAAATAAAGTTTTTAGTTATCTTTGCTTCCATTACGATCTAACTCAATAAAAATAATAATAATTAAATCTTATTACTTAATCATTACATAAAGTCATTTTTTTTCAATGCCTTTAATCGATGTTAAGTCTATTGCAATATGTTCTCAGGTAGTAGAGCATGAAGTGCTATTGGATGACTCAACAATGAGTTATTGGCTTTGGAAGTGCACCAGTTAATCCACTGGTTGGCTTCGTAGTGCGATCGTTGTTGAGGGCCAAGTTGGGGATTTATTCCTATACTTTTGATGACGACTATCGTCGGATTATTCCCAATGTGAAGTCTATTGTTCATTCTAACACATAGTATCCGACTATTTATATAGATACTCTCTTTAACAATATATTTCAATAAAAGTTTACATTTTATTTCTCTAAAATATCTTTTTTCATAAAACAATCTGTAATTTATTATTTCTACTTTTTAATGGAGGTTTTGAGATTCAATTCAAAAAATTATATTTGATAAATAATTTTTTATTATTTCTACTCTAGATATTTCCAATAAATTTGATAATGGGTTTTCAAACTTTGCAGTAAACTTTATATTTTTCAATCAATTTTTGTATCAACTTTATCCTAAATGTATATAAATGTATAAATAATATTTAAATGTTATCACACAACTTGGATATACAACAGCCAGCTTTTTTCATGAGCTTTTATTTTTAATCAAACCGTTGGATTGTGTTATTAATTATTTTATTTAATAATGTAAATTGTTTATATCCTAACAACTATCCTGACAATGAATATTGATTTTAACTCAAATAATGGTAAATAGAAAACAAGTGCTGGAGAAAAATTAAAAAATTAAAAATTGAAGGGCTTTGCAAGAGCTCAACTGTACAAATTATGAACGAAGAGTTAGTGAATAGAATACAGTTCATTTATTTTTCATATAAAGTCATATTAAGTCATATTTTTTCTGAATTGAATAAAATCTGTTTCTATGTAAAAGTCTAACTTTATCATGGAATAACTACAATTTTTAGAGTAGATATTTTTCAAAATATTATTCAAATTGATATATTATTTTGTACTTGATCTCAAAGAAGATTAGCTAAACTAATTATTGATTTTGCTAAAAAAATTTGAAAATAAGCAATTGATTACTCAATTTACTAATTCTTTATTGAATCAACAATGTAAGCGAAGAGTCAATTTTTTATATGATTTTCTGTGATAGCTTTTTGTGTATTGAATGCTATAAATCTTGAGGAGTTCAATAAATTAAGACAAATCCTATGTCTTGGTATTCAAGTTCGGATAATAGAGAAGAAGGTTTAATTTTAATGATCCAATTAGTACCGAATTATTTAGGAATAATTTGCTCTTCAACAATGAAATTAGCTATTCTAACTACTAGCATAATGGAAATAAGAATTCGAAGAGAGATGAATTTTTTAAATTGAAATTGATTCTGATGAATTGAATTTAAATAGATTTAATTTTTATTCAAGCTGTGTATTATCCGTACAATGCAATACTAATTAATGAATCTATTTGTGGGCATAGTTGTAATTAACGTGAGAAATTCTAGCATGGATTATGTGCAATTTTGTTAGCAATTTGATAGGCTTCTCGATGCTCATCATTCATCAAGTTGCCTGGCAGTACTGGATTACTATATCTCTTTGATTTCTATCTAAATAATGTCTGATTAATAACCAATCTTCTACACCCATGTATTCTCATTTTTTATTCTTGTGCTGTTAACTATAATAGCTTCTATTGGTGAGCAATCACTTGTTAAAGTAATTAAAAATTCATGCAACCCGGAAAACTTTTATCTAAATCAATTTTTTAAGCTGATTCTCATCAAAAGTTTTTAATGGTGATTTGCAGAAAATTTCTTTTTTTTGTTTTATTTTGAAAAGTTATTAACTTATATTAGAGTTAGCATATATACATTGAAGAAACTTAGTAACGTTGTATTGAATAATAAATAAACTCGAGAACTTGCATACTTCCTTCCTTACGAAGGATGTAAAGGTTCTGTTGAAACAAATGGACAGATTGGTGGATAGAGAACGTCCGGGTATACGTATAATGCGGGGAAAGTACTCTGGGGAGTCTTAAGACTCCTTAACCTCGACGATGGAAGCGTTCTACTCGGACCTATCCATTATGCACGTCTTTTGGTAATTGATTTCCCTCATACTCAATTTTTTTTTACGGTTTTAAAGTGTTTAAGTATTTTTTCACTTGACTTGAAAATTTTCCTTGATGTTATCACTCTTTTGATTAATTTCAATTTTATTATTCTTATTTTCACCTAAATCTACCTTTTGTTCATCAACAAATTAATTATTTATTTAAAATATAAATGGTGAAAATGATAGGTTAGTTAAGGGTGGAATAATCTGAAGCAAAAAGGCTAAATAATTTGAATTTTAAAAAAATTTTGTTGAAGCGTCATCTCGTTAAAACAAATGTAAAAGAGAATGAAACTCAATGATTATAATTTAAAATAATTCAACAAAGGCTAGAAGTGTGCCCTAAATAAAAGGTAGAGTGTATAATCACAGCACAGGCATAGAAGAACTTAATCAAATGGTAAACGGGTGGAAAACAAGCAATTTGAGCCATCGGAGTTGAGAATGCTAGGAGGTAAGGGTTTGCGAGGGTGTCCATTGGGGAGTAAATCTGATAAAATCATCTCAAACCCCATTTTACTCTTCCAGACATTATCCCCTATAGTGGCAAACATCATAACTTTCTCTCTTTTTTTCCTCTGGAAGATAAATGTATCAGGTACTTCGTCAACTCCCCACGCAAAAAGCGTAAGTAATCTAAGAGGGTGGTTGTTACTTTGGTTGTTATTAAATGAGACAGCCTAATAGGCCCATTACCCAGTTCGGACCCTCGGTCCATTCCCACATAATATAATCCTTACCGCACGCGTCATCATCTCCATCCCGTTTTTGCACGCCCTCTCTTTTTATTCTATGTATCGTATGATGTAGGATATCTCGATCCATCTCGCACACGCGCCCACGCGTAGATCACACGCCAGATAATTTAGCTCGGTCGACAAACTAATGATAGTCGATCTTTTCTCTTTTTCACCGGAAAAAGGTATGTTTTTGGATTTAAAGGTGAAACCCATCAAAGATTTCCATTACGGTTGTCTGCTGGTGCGTTAACCAATACGTTTTAATCGCATTCTAGATTATTGGTATGTGGATTTTTCCGGCTTACAGTACTTATCTTGATGTATTTTCAATTATTAAATACATTCTTTCAATATTATTCTTTAAGTATATCTGATAAAATTCTTATTAACTTTAGAAAAATATTTTTTTGGACCGGAAGAAGTTTACAATTTCAAAGTATCTGATCTCAAGTCAGGCTTATGAATTTCTATGAATAAATTTTTATATCTACTCTACTTAAAATAATAAAAATAATTACATATTAGTGGGTATAAAATTCGAATTATTATCTACATGTTTTCTCATGTTGCAATAAAACTTGTGTAATCGCTTTTGAATGACTTATTAACTTATATAATAAATACGACGTAGAAATGCTATATTTAGTCTCTAAGAACATTACTATAATATGCATAAAAATATCAACCCTTTCGTTTGATTTGTATTTTTAAATCTACATTGAATGAAATGTATCTATTGCTTGAAAGTAAAGTAAATATTAAGATAAAGTGTAAATTACCTTGATAACATAGCGAGATTTGCTGATGCTTGATGTCCCATAAGAGGATTGGTCGGATCACCAGAAGACGGAAAACTAGGTGGACTAGTAGCACTAGAACTCCATGATAACCCGGTTGTAGGATTACTTCGAGCTTCAGTTGCTTGACTCGCAGACCTACTGTGTCCTCCAGTTAATATTAATGACGTTGGCGAGAGTATCCTCTCCGACGGGGAAGATCCGCAAGAAGCTACGAGCTTTTGTGAAGTAGTAGCAGCTGGTGGAGATGCTCTTTCAGCGTCGGACGTTCGCACAATGGAAACTGCTGCGGTGGCATCTGCCGACGGTGATTCAGAACGTCCCAAAATGCTGGATATGCTGAATGATGTATATTGAGCATTACAAGCGGGTCTAAGTGCAGCTTTACTACCGTCAAAACTAAATGGATGGCTGCCTAAACCACAGCCATGTTTACTTTTCTCTTGAAGTAACATCTCTGCGGGTGTGGAGCTGCTTCTTGAAGCTTCAAGATCTTCCTCCGAGACGACGGACACCTCAATTTCGGTCTCAGCCGACATGTCCTCCTCCTCCGTCGCCTCAATCTCCACCCGCTCGTTCAATTCCTCTTGCTTCTTCGTGATTTCCAGCCTTTCAGCTGCAACCGTCGGAAATAAAATACACGTCTCCGTTTTGTTATAACTTTTATTTGTCAACAACAACTCGAGTTATTTAGCAAAATCATTGAATACTCGATTGATAATGTGAATCACTTGAATAATTCCACTTGAAACTCCGTTTATTTGTACTTGAAGTAAATAATTTTTGATGAAAATTCATGGTTTAATTTTCAGTCAAAAGCACTAGATATATTTTTAGTGTGAAAGCAAGTTTCGATTTAAATAGAAAGTATTATTTTCACCGAGCAGCACAAAAGACTCAGGTTACTAAGTCTAGACGACGACGGTGATGACGACGATGGTCGCGATTCAAGCGGTCGATCGCTCGATCGCGGTTCATTCGTAAGCGATACTCGAACAAGAAGATGATAGGAGACAAGACACTTGAGGTGAGCCAACCCCTCCGTGGCACTCACTCGATCCCCACCTTCATCCAATGGCCTCCTACTTTATCTCACCCCTATCACCACTATCGTTTCCTTCCCTCCTTTCTTGTCGGCACCACCCCCACAAATACTAATCCGTGCGAGTATAACACGCGACAATTCCCGCTCACTTCTCGATAGACCACAGTCGATCGGTTTATTCACACATTAGAACTTTCTACAGAATAAACCATTTACATTGAATATCTGTACAACCTACGATACTTATCTTATCAACTTTATTACACACTGTTGAGATATCACAGACATTTCAAAATATTGCTAATGAGTCAAATAAAGTTTCATTTCACTTAAAAATATTAAACAATCCACTTAGTTAGTGATGGAATGACAAATAACGCTGATGGCTGACTAAAGTCACGACATACTACTGTGCGAGGGTGCTACTTAAGCACGAATATCTACTTAAAGTTTATTTAACAAAATTTAGTTGATTGAGAGAGAGGGTGAGGCTTAAGCGGGGGTTCGTGATGGGCTGCGGATGGGTACTGTATTCGAACTAAGGACAGAAACACCGGAGAAACCGCAGGTCACACGGGCATGGGGCGGCGCGCACTCCAACACAATGTCAAACACACAGTCACAGGCGTTCTGTATTTGGCGTTTCACAGGGTGGTTGTGGCAAGCGAGAAGTGAGCGAGACAAGGACAGAGAAAATTGGTGGGGTGGATCGAGGAGGGTGAATAAAGATGAAACGATAGCAGTTAACGACGAGCGAGACTGAGAGTGCGATGAGAGTGACTAAGTTGAAAGTTGGCCAGAGGGTGGCAGGGCGGAGTTTAGCAGCAAAGGGGACGGCTTTCTCGATTTCTCATAGGGTGGAGGCACGATCGATGGTTTGCACCACACAGAAGCGTTAGGGGTAGCTTTCAGAGCGGACCAATCGCGCGTTAGTCGAGTCCTTAACTCGAAAGATATACAGGGGGAGAGTCGAGCAGTCCCGTCCCGTGCCACGCCGTGTTACTTATCCATTATAACACTCCAAGATCTTGATTTAAGCCTGCAGCGGCGGTGAGCTTTTAACCAATTAGCCTTTATAGCCGCTAACCCCCTTGCACCCTCTTGCCTCTTCTCCTGCCACATTTTCTATACATCGCACGATTGCACTCCCTCCTTCTCATTCTCCACTCTGTATACGAGTTTCAACATTTCCCATCTCACTCATACTCCTCTCAGCTTACCACTCCCCACTGTCAGCTCTACCGACGCGCGATATGCCCACCTAATCTACCGGTTCTCTTCTCCTGAGGCCACTACCGAGTATACACGTATTCAACCCCCGATACTTACGCCCGACCTGCAGCAATCTCTCATTCCCTTTGCTCTATCTATCTCTCTTGTGCTTTCATGACCGTGTGGGCCACATGCCCGTTCATGAATGTATACACTCTCGAAGAGAGCTGTTAGCCCTCTACGCCCTCACCCGATTTCTACCCCGGCACGCTCTCCAAGCTTGGCTAAATAGATGCTTGCACGCGGGTCTTCTAAATAGCCGTGTAGGGAATTCTCGAGCGACCGCGCGTCGATTTTTATGCGGTTTCTCTCTCTCCATCTCGCCAACGCCTCTAAATGCCCACACGATCTGCGCCCTTTCTCTAAGCCTACATCGATCTCATTTTCAGTTACCTCAGAAACTCTTCAAATATTATTTCACTGAATTTCACTAACTTGAATTCGAATGTTTAAGTCTCCTATATAAAAATATTTCACAATTATTTCTCTTTACTTTTTAGCTAATTTTTCTCTATTGCTCTTAACTTATTTAACTCATGACAGCTAATGTCATGATTTCACCCTTTATTATTATCTTGTATTTATATTCTTATGATGTGTTATTTTATCTTTTACCACTAAAACGACACCCCTTTATAAGGATTTCTTTCCTATTAATGTTTAGTTATCTTTTATTACAAGTAAAATGTATTCACAGTTATTTAACCAAGATTATTGTCAAGAAAATTCTACTTAACTCAAATATTACATTTAAAAAAAACAAAAAAAAATAACGAGCAGGAAACAAAATAAAATTGATAATGCAATTGTCGGTTTTTTGTGATCAATGATGGTAAAAATAAAAAATGATTAAAAAAAAAAAGTTAATTAAAATTTTTATAGCATTAAAAATAGGTGAAAATATTAACAATAATACTTTTTTTATCGGCTTGACGGTAAAACCCTTCTTTGTTGAATATAATGAGGTTATTTAAGTACTTTCAAAGTCTTGGTCAAGAGCGATTTAGAGTTTTTCAGGGTCCGACGGTGAGGAGATCGTCGTATAAGATTTAGGTCAATTTAGCACCCGCTCAAGAGCTTCTGAGATTCAACAATGGTCCATGATCGTTTTCGTTTGGCTACTGCAAACTATTTCTTTTATTCATTCCACTTTTACCTCGATTCTACGTCTTTTTATCTCCTTTCTTTCATCCTGACTATCTCATTTTGGCGTATATACGTAATATTAGACGAATGGTCGCCGCACGAACGATTTTTGGGATCAGCAATGAGAGAATGAGGGTAAGAGAGGTAGATACTTTACTTTGTGTCTGGCGCGCGGTGCGTAAGAGGATTATATGTTCTCTCTTGAGACGTAAGTGGTGGGTATGCTTCACTTTTCACGGGCCCCGGCATTGTTGGTTATTATCCGATGTGATTAGTCGATGATGCAGGTAAGCTACCGCGGGGGGTCTCCCATTATATGCTGCAACTGAACTCACTCGTCCGCGAGCCTTGTGTATATACAATTTCTTACTATGTTAACAGAACAAAACCTCGCGATTTTTTATCTTTTTCGCTCTTTTACTTGTGAGAATTTTTTATAAATAGATTTTCTTAGTTCAAAAACACCGACGTTGGATAAAAACTTTAAATTGACAGCCGATTGTACCTGAGAAAACCAAATTTTTTTAACTTTCATTTTTTCGACGTTTTTATTTGTTCAATTAAATTTTCATCGAATTTATTCTCTATTTATTGGGAATAATAGAAAATTTAATATTCTTCGGTAGGATCATATAGAGACTAAATGGTTAATTGTCGAAAAAAATACAGTTGGAAATTAAATAGTAGTGAAAAATATATTAGCAAGTGTTTGTTGAAAAAGTTTATTTATACAAAATTGAAATTGATAGTGATTTTAGAAATTAATTCACGAGAATATTTTTTTAATTGTGATACAGAAAAAGTTTTAATTATTTTTCTTTTTTTTTTTTGAATTTTTATTTGAAAAATTGGGTCGGAATTTTTTCAATTTCCATTGACTAAAAATATTGAAAACTGGCATTATATTTTTAACTGAATAAAAATTAAAATTGACAATCGTACGATCATAGTTTTTATTTTATTTGGATTTATTATATTGAAACTGTTTTCTTCGGTGGAATTACGATAATTTTCGATTCTGTAGAATTCTAAAATTTATAGTTATTGATTTTTTACGATGCTCAGAAATATCGGAATGACTTTTTCTATATCTTTTATTTAAATCAAATCGCATAAACGTATATTTGTCGTGAAATGTTATATTCAAACGACTCGAAATACTCTTAAAGACAAAAGTTCTATTAAAAAATAGACATTATCAAATATTAATATCGATAGGAGTAAAAAAATATGAGAACCACTACTAAAATATAAATAGTTGAAATTTTTTTACCGATAATTCGGTGTCATATAAAAAATCTTTTCTTATCTTAGCATCACGTTTTAGATTGCCGAAATTTTTTTAGTTTAATTGACCCACATGTGTTATTTAAATTTTCGGCTATTATTTTTAGATAATTATCTAAAAATGATCTTAGATATAGATAATGTCTATTCGTCTTGATTCTTTTTTTTTAAAAAATGAAAAAATAAAAACTCTACTTGAAATATTATTAAAAAAAATATATATTCATACAACATGAATGTAAGTACTGTAAAGAGTCATTATAATCTCTTTAATTTTTCATATAAATTCATTAACGTAATTATACAGAAGTTTGACAATCACTTAAGTGTGTTTTGAATGTTATCATTTCGGCATAAAGGTGTAATATTTTTATGAAAACCAACAATGTTCTGACAATATTGACGAATTTTTTGCACAATAGTGGAAGGAAATAACAAGAGACGATATGGATTACGTCGGCACGTTTAGACAACAAACGATAAACGACACAGCGAAGCCAAAAGGGAGAAGAACACAATGGCAATGATGTTGAGGGATTTAAGGGATAGAGAGATTCAGGCATGAGTTATATATAAGTGAGAGAGAGTGAGGGAATGAACTAGTGAGAGCAAGGAAAAAGCGGTACAGATCTTAATGCCTTACATTATAAGCTCTGTAGCGAGCGACTAATTACTCGACGCCGTTGAGACTAAGCGCGAATTAAAAGGGGCTGTCTGAGTTTGTCACGGTAATGTTTCCTGTGCGCCCAGTAGCCACGGGAAATGAAGAATATAAAAAATTACACCCGGATATTTTTTCTCATTCTATCTCTTTTCTATATCCTTATCTGAACTCGCTAGTTCTTTGTCACCTTGTAGAAATTTTTCTCTCG